GAAGCTGAAGCTCAAATGCTTTGGACACCAAATGAGAAGAGAGGACTCCCTGGAAAAGATGCTGATGTTGTGAAAGATGGAAAGCAAAAGGAGTAGGGGGACGGCAGAGGATGAGATGGTTAGATCATGTCATTTATGCAATGAGCATGAATTTGCAATGAACATGAACATGAATTTGGGCAGGGAGACAGTGGAGGAGGGGAGCCTGGTCTGCTATGGCCCATGGGGTTGCGAACTGCAAACAGTCAAAATAGGAGTTGGATTGGACTGCCTTTAAATTCCATTTCAGTTCTGATTCTACAACACAGCAATGTTCTAAATAAATGATGGTTACCAAATACAAGTTGAGTCACATTCACCTTAATAAAGGTGAATGTAGAAAGGTGTAGAAAACATGTGAACAGTTAAAACGTTGAATGTTCTTGTATATTCATTAAGGTGATACTTTACATTGTAACTCTGAAATGAAATGGATCATCCTGGCACTTGCAAGATGAAGAGATAATATACAGGGTTTAATCCAGGGGTCTTCAAATTTGGCCCTTTTATGACTTGTGGACTTCAACTCCCAGAATTCCTCAGCTAGCATGCCTGGCTGAGGAATTCTGGGAGTTGAAGTCCAGAAGTCATAAAAGGGCCAAATTTGAAGACCCCTGGTTTAATCCAACATTTGCGATATCATCATCAAAACACAAAAGGATTTGTGTTTTGTCCACATCTTTTGGGAGTTAATAAATACAAACAGTGTGAAAGATACAGTGGCTCGCCCACCCTTCATCCCACAAGAAGTCCCCTTGCTTGTCATCTCCCCTAATGGTATGCTTAAGGATGAGGAAATGGGAGCTTGGTTAACATCTCTAGCTCCTTCACAGAGAATTAAAACAAAACAAAACAAAACGCAATTAGAAGTTCCTAATTATTGTGCTGCTGAGACTAACATTTCCTGCTCTAATTTCAAGGCACTTTTAAAACTGCAGCCAAAAACTAGTACATGTTTTAGCTGTGATTTCCTTTTCATTAATGGGAATGTTTGAGTGAAATATGCATGTTATCACTGTTTCTTGAATATACATGCACTCACGCATACACTCAAACTCTGGGAAATATATGTCATGGTTGTTTTGCTGGGAAGATGAATATCAATATTCAGCCCCACCTCTTCACACTTCAGTTAGAAAACTATAACGTTACATACTGTATTAAAGCAAAACAATAAAGAAGTCAACTGTTGAGACCCATAAAAGTACAATTAAATAACAGACTGATTTGAAGCAATCTTGATTATGAGTACATTTATCTTCCTTTCTCCCTTCATTGTACTATTTATGGAATCCAGTGCTTTGTCTTCTTGCACACTGCACAACTGCCATGGAGAAGTTTTAAAAAATAAAGATATGGAAGATAAAGAAGTGAACTAAAAAGCCTTAACTTATAAACAAACTCACTATTAAAAAATACTTTTCACTCTCATGATTGCTGCCGCGTCCCCATGGTCATGTGATCAAAATTCAGACGCTTGGCAACTGGCGCATATTTATGACGTTTGCAGTATCCCAGGGATACTGACATTCTGACAAGCAAAGTCAATGGGGAAGTCAGATTAAATTTACAACCGTGTTAGTAACTTAACAACTGCAGTGATTCACTTAACAACTGTGGCAAGAAAGATCATAAAATGTGACAAAAGTCACTTAAGTCTTGCTTAGCAACAGAAATGTTGGCTCCATTGTGGTCATAAATCAAGGACTACCTGTACAGAAGGATATTCAGGGATATTTAGGTTTTCAGCATTGAATCTTCCTACTTGATTTTTGCATGTTTGTGAAAAATCAAAGGAATACTATTAGTGACTGCCTCTAGCTAAGATCTGTAACTGTCCATTTTTTGAAAAAAAAAAAAAAAAAAAGCCAAGGTGAGAAACAGGCAGCTGAGCAGATAACTGGGTACCCTGTATCACCCACTCCCTCTGTTTGGTTGCCCAGGTGAGTCTTAGTCAAACCGACTTGTAAGGTAAGATCCCTGATCAATTTTAAATTGTCAGTTAAGGTACATAAGGGAGAAGTTGAGATCCTTAGGTTGAGCTATGGCCTTTACCCTTTTTCTTATAGGAAATGAAGAAAATTAATGAAGGGATATAACCGCATTGGTATTTGAAAGGGGGGGGGATATATAAAAAGTCCTCCCTATAATAATTACCAATATTTATTTATTTTTGGGGAGGGACATTTTTATACTTGCTGATAAGTATAAAGCAGGGGTTCTCAACCTTGGCAACTTTAAGACTTGTGGACTTCAACTTCCAGCTTTGCTGGCTGAGGAATTCTGGGAGTTGAAGTCCACAAGTCTTAAAGTTGCCAAGGTTGAGAACCCCTGGTACAAAGGGAAGTGATGGAAACAAAGCTCTGGGCACAAGAAATAAATGGCTACAGCAGATGATTTGAAGACTAGCTTGGAAGAGTTCCTTGCCTAGTAAACTTAATTTTTTGTAATGGGATTATCTTTCTTTTCTTTTTTTCTTTCTCCAGTTAGCTATTCCCTATCTCAGTTAGCTGTTCCTCTTCTCTTCTCTTCTCTTCTCTTCTCTTCTCTTCTCTTCTCTTCTCTTCTCTTCTCTTCTCTTCTCTTCTCTTCTCTTCTCTTCTCTCCTCTCCTCTCCTCTCCCCTCCCTCCCTCTCCCTTTCCCTTTCCCTTCCCTTCCCCTTTACTCTTATTTCACCTCCATCATTTCCTTCATATTGGAGGTTGGTGCTGCTGAAAGGAAGATGTGTGTGTGTGTGTGTGTGTGTGTGTGTGTGTGTGTGTGTTTCATTTCTTTGTGTGAAATTGGGTTATGTATCAGAAAGAGATCGGTTGCCATATGCAGATAGAGAACAATTTTTGTAATTGGGACACTTCATTTTGCAAAAAATTAACTTTAATTGGCAGTAGTTAACTTAATTAGTATATATATTTGTTCTTGGCCCTGCCCTTTTTTGTGGGAATGTAGCTTCTGGCAGGTGCATACATGTATGCACGTACATGCAAATATGCGATGTGCACCTATTTCAGGTGTGCGGGGATGATTAATTTCAGCTGAAACTAGCAGCTATATTTTTGTTCCATTTTATTTTAAGGAAGAGAACTGTACGTTCAGGTCCATCTTTTGTAAATATATGACTTGTGTGTGTGCCTGTAACTTGCCACAATGTGAAGAGGTTGAGCCTCCAGTCCACTTTTGTGCCAATTAAACAGCTTGTGCCTTCAGGCAGGTACAGTATAGCAGGTCAGAAAGACACTGAACAGCAAAAACTCTGCAAAGTTTCTTTTGTCGACTTGTGTTTTCCTGCAAGGTCCATTTTTTAGAATAGCCACCACTAACTGACAGTTGCTGAGCCCAGCAAAAATGTGCTTAATCTATAAAATCACGGGAGCTCAGCTGGAACTTTCTTTTCAGCATTATCTCTCTTGAGAAAACTCCTAGGCGTAGAATTGTTACAGAGGAAGGAGTGCACATCTGCATGAAAAAGGATTTCATATGGATATGTTTTCACACAGACCTTTCACTGTGGATTAAATCAATGCACAAACAGCTTCAGGTGCAATTACCATGCCTGGAAGGTTAAACAACCAGCAGAGCTTATGAACTTCCAAACAGTGATGGATTCTACCGACAAATGGATGGATGAATGGGTTAAGATGAACATCTGGGTCACAGGTGACCTAGGGAAACTACATCTACCTGGAAGTCTTTGTGTCAAGGAGGGGAAAAATCAAAGTGGGGTCCTTGGTGCTCTCTGAACTTGGTTGTTTTCTTGCAGACATTTCATTACCCAACTAGATAACATCTGAAATGTCTACAGGAGAACAACCAAACTCAGAGAGCACCAAGGACACCGCAGTTCAACTGTGAGCTATAAATCTTCTCCTCTGTTACGAACTAAATTGTCTGAAATGCCATAGAGTCCCAGTCATTGTCAGCAATATTGAACCAGATAGTGCCATGGCTTGACCCTTAATAAATGATTATTATTTCATATGCAGTGGCATCATCGATCAAAATACAAATGTATACTTGGCATTTTATTTTTTAGCTTTTTTGTCTTATAAAAACTGCCTCTTTAGATTGGCAATATGCACAGACACGTTGCTCATTTCATTGAGATATTATGACAATTTTATAGTTGATCAGATGTGAGTAGGAGTTTTTGGAAAGAAAGAAAGAAGGGAGAAAGGCAAGAAGAACAGTCATAAAAAGAGAGCAATTGGCACATGAACAGAATGAAAGGAAAAACATAAAATACTTTGCAAGACTAAAAAAAATACATATAGAATAATGTGAAAAGTAGGATTCTTGGTAGTGAAATATTAAGTCACCCACAGCAGTTTGTTTTTCTCTATTGCCTCCAGTTCGCAGCATTCTGGAATGTTTAGTCTCAATAGACTATCAGATTGAGGGAAACTGTTCCACCAAATCAAGAATTCTTGGATAGCATGGAAGCTTATAAGTTTATTTATCAAATTTATATGTCTGCCCAACTCATAAGCAGTGACTCTGAGAGGTGCAATAATTCTTTAAAGAAAGCCCCAGGTTCTATCAGATACAGTATTTCTGAAACAGTTTTGAAAGTGTAACGGAGACCCAAATCTCACGTTCGTTATTAGTATATTGAATAATTATTAACACATCTGAATGATTTGGAAGGATTTATACCTGAGAATGAATTTGAATTAGACGTTTCAAGTCCAAATCTCCTTTTATTATAAATTGCCACAATAGAAAGTTTTTAATACAGTTTTCCCCAACCTGGTGTCTTACAAATGTGTGGGGATCACAACTCCCCAAATCTCCAGTCAACGTGACCATGCTGGATTGAATTTGTACTTGCCCTCATATAACAAATGCATGCAGAGTTATAGTCAAATAGACATGGCGGACTGTAGGGTGGGAGGGGGTGCTTTGAGAAATACGTTCTTTAAGCCCTGAAAGAGAAGTCTATAAAAAGATACATTTGTGGCCTTACCTGTCAAACAGTGGCTTCTCTCCACAATCAAAGGCATCCTGTAACTCTTTGACGAGGTTAGCCTGGCCCGGCAATCGGAAAAGTCCTTCCTCCTTCAGCCCCCGCAGACGAATAAAATCTACACACTGTTCTACCAGCAATGGAGCCAAATGGTTTCCATATCGTTTCTCATAACGAACTGTGTCTTCCAGCTTCTGCCCAAATATTCCTGTGTATGACAACAATAGCTGTAAATACTCAAGGTGAACTGTGGACAGAAAATATGTCTTGCATTGCGCCATTTTACCTGGACCTGGGAAACCGTAACACTAAAACTACATTAATTGTAATGATGCCAGGTGCAAGAAGTCAGGAACCAGAATAGACTTCAAAAGTACTACACGTTTATTTCACTACAAGGCGTAAGAAGAAAGGGCCAACAGAATGTACATAAATATATACATAAATATAAGAAATCTGGTAAACCACAACCTGAAGCTGATCTGCTACCAATACGGGAAAACGTACTGTAGCTCAAGCTGCCTTCCCTTAAATGTTGCCATCAGACACACCCATACACCCACAAAATACAAACACACAAAGAGGACGTTCAGAGGATGTTCACACTATTAGCCCTCTGGTGGGCTGTAAAAACCGACTTTTTGCCTAGCATTTGGTCTAGGGTAGAAGTGAGGCCCCCAAAATGGAGGAGTAAGTAGAGTTTAAGGAAGGTTGAGGCCCTGTGATTGGGCTAGATGGTGTCGTTATAAGATTTTGTCACCTCAATTTACTCTGCTTTTATTGAATATTATTGTGAGCTAGATAGGCTTATTCTGTAAAAGATAGATGGCCATATATATAATATATATAACAATAATATAAGTTTATAATTTTTTTTAAAGCTCAGTAGCACAGATTTCTTGAAAATTTTTTTTTTCAAACTGACAGAAAATGTCATGCACTTTAAATTATAAAGAGACATAAAAATAATTGAACAAAGAATAAATTTTAAATGGAGCACAATTCTTAATCAACATTTATCTATTTCTAAACAACAGAACCATGACAAACACAAATGCTACCCCATATACTCTCATCTCTCCTTCAAGCAGAAACAGCACAAAGGAGAGAAAGAGGGAGAGAGAAAAAAAATGAAAGCAAGAAAGCAAGAGAGAAGAAAGAAAGAAAGAAAGAAAGAAAGAAAGAAAGAAAGAAAGAAAGAAAGAAAGAAAGAAAGAAATGCTGTCATTATTATTTAATAGAGTTGAAATCTCCTCATCCTGTTTGGTAAAAAACAGTATAGTTCACCATTTAGAACTTTCTGTGTGATAAGGGAGCATCAAGCCATTTTTCTATATTGTTTGGAAGAAGTTTCTCATTCTTAAAAACTGAAATGCTCTGAAAGTTGTATGCAAACAACATGGGGCAGCTAAAAGTATTTGCAAGCAAAGCTGACCAAAACAAACATGAGCAAATTTCATGTTAAAACCTTAGCAAAGTTATCTTTGTCATGCATTAGGAGGGGGGGAGAAAGAGAGAGAGAGAAAGAGAGAGAGAGAGGGAGGGAGGGAGAGAGAGAGAGAGAGAGGAAAGAGAGAGAAAGAAAGAGAGTGGGGGAAGAGGAGTGACAGACCAAGGGCAGATAGAGAGGGAGGGAGAGAGAGAGACAGAGAGAGAGAGACCCTTTTGACATCTAAAATGAAGATAACGCTGCACATATCCTTTTTTTACCTGTGTGGGTATGTAATTTTATTCTCTTAAAGCATTCTCTTGGTGATCATTGTTTTAATAGTATGGATATTCCCAAGAGTCATATTTTTACTTTTATTTTTAATGTGTGTGTGTGTGTGTGTGTATGTGTGACACACACACACACACACACACACACACCTATAATAAAGGTAAAAAAGGATATATGCAGTGTTATCTTCATTTTAGATATCAAAAGGGTTTTGCGGCTCCCGGTGTTTTGTTTTTGGTGGGAAACGGGTCCAAGTGGCTCTTTGAGTGTTTTGGGTTGCCTACCCCTGGTCTAGTTTAATGAAAAGAAAGACGAGGGGGGATATGATAGCAGTGTTCCAATATCTCAGGGGCTGCCACAAAGAAGAGGGAGTCAAGCTATTTTCCAAAGCGCCTGAAGGCAGGACAAGAAGCAACGGGTGGAAACTAACCAAAGAGAGAAGCAACCGAGAACTAAGGAGAAACTTCCTGACAGTTAGAACAATTCACCAGTGGAACAACCTGCCTCCAGAAGCGGTAAATGCGCCAACACTGGAAGTTTTTAAGAAGAAACTGGACAGCCATTTGTCCGAAATGATATAGGGTTTCCTGCCTGAGCAGGGGATTGGATTAGATGACCTCCAAGGTCCCTTCCAACTTCATCATCATCATCATCATCATTATTATTATTATTAACAGTTTGAGATCTGAGACCCAGGAATGTCCACTTATAATCTTATTCCTCTGCAATCCAAGTGAATCTCCATTTGTGCCTAGTTCTGCTAGCTACCTGTTGAAGGGGGTCCTTCTTTTTCCCATCATGTTTCTATTAGCAACCAACATGGCTTGCATTGTATTTTAGCTGCACTTTCTTTTACCTTTCTGGCTCAAGGACAAATCAGCTTCTGTTTTAAAAGGCACACACTTGTTTATTTATAATGTTTTAGCCACATTATTCATAATGACAACAGAGAAGAAGACCTATCTGTTTGGCTACACATTGTCATCCTCCAGACCAGGGGTAGGCAACCTCGGCTCTTTTATGACTCATGGACTTCAATTCTGGGAGTTGAAGTCCATGAGTCATAAAAGAGCCAAGGTTGCCTACCCCTGCTCCAGACTCTTCATCCGTGCTCATTCCATAAACTGTACAGGTTCATTGTCTGATGTTTCAAAACTGCAACGATGCTTGAATAATACGTTGGATATCATTACAGACGGGTTTTTTTTTTTCAGAAGGAAGTGGTTTTACAGGTGGTGGAAGTTGAACAGAAGCAGGCTTTGTTTAAGCACTAGCAGAAATGAATGCTGGGCTGAAGTTTGATGTGCAGTTTCTCAAAGGTTCCCTCCCTCAGCTCCTAGAAAAAATGTATTCTCACAATTCAGCAATTCCTTTTGATCCCCCCCCCTACTTTTAAGTCTCCCCGGCTACTTGTACTAACTACAAAACTGCAAAGTCTCATGGGCTGAATTCTTATGACAATTTTGGGCTTGGATTGAAAGGTCAGAAGTCAGAGGTCTACAGGAATGAGGGTATAAATGAAAAACAGGACATTTACATGTAACATTTGGTCAACAAGAAAATAAATAAATGCAAGAACACAATAGTCCATTCATCAGGATCTGACCAAAATCTAGATGAGATAGGTGACACAGAAATCAAGTCAAATCAAATACATATACCCACATACGCACACACACATGCACACATACATACAAACATACATACATACAGTTCTCTTCTTTGAAGATATTTCAAAAGAAGATTATTTTCCATCAATTTGAATAGGCTGGTAAGAAAATGCAGGAGACTTTTTCAATATGCAACCAGCATAAATATTCTGACAGTAGAGCTGTCTCACAAGGAACAGAATGCTTGAGCAACTGTTGGGTTTGCTATTAATGAAGATGTTTAATTAAGCAACCATTTGTCAGAGAGGCTATATCTCACCTTAAGAACATTCTTAGAATAGCTGGCCATTGAAGTATATTATTATTTTGGATCATCGCAGTCAGCCAGATGTTCAGACTGGATTTGGCATTTTGTCTACCTATCGAGTCCTTACCCAGGACCTGGGATAGGCAGATGTGGATGTTTGATGGTATTACAGATATCGTCGCAGGATGGAAGCAGTTCCTAATAAGGCCGCCTTTTGCAATTGACTAATAGCGAATTTGTCAATGCCAATGGTGTTCAAGTGGTGCTCCAGTTGTTTTGGGATTGCACCCAAGGAGCCTATGACTATTGGTACTACCCTTGCTTGCTTTTGCCACAGTCTTTCTATTTCTATTTGTAGGTCTTTGTATTTTGTTATCTTCTCCAGTTCTTTCTCTTCTATTCTGCTGTCTCCAGGCACTGCCACGTCCACTATCCAGACTTTTTTGTCTTTCTTATCGACAATTGTTAAGTCTGGGGTGTTATGTTGCAGGTGCTTGTCTGTTTGAATTCTGAAGTCCCAGAGCAGTTTAATTTTATCATTTTCTATGACTTTCTCTATTTTATGATCCCACCAGTTTTTGCTTACAGGCAAATGATATTTTTTGCAGATCTTCCAATGCACCATTGTTGCTACTTTGTCATGCCGCTGCTTGTAATCAGTTTGTGCAATCTTCTTGCAACAGCTTACCAAGTGGTCCACTGTTTCTTCAGCTTCTTTGCATAGGCGGCACTTACTGTCTGTTGCTGTCTTCTCAATTTTGACTTTGTATGCATTTGTCCTTAAGGCTTGGTCTTGTGCAGCCAGAATTAGTCCCTCGGTCTCTTTCTTCAATTTTCCTGCTCTTAGCCATTGCCAGGTTTTATTATTATCTGCTTTCCCAGCTATTTTTTTCATGTATTGGCCATGTAGTGCTTTGTCTTCCCATGCCTCTATTCTGTTCTTCATTTGGTCTTTCTTGTAGGCCAGTTTGGTCTCTCCAGTAGTTAGTAAGCCTTCCTGATATACTAATTTCAGTGCATCTTCATCATTGTTCTTCAGATATTCTTCCAAAGCCATTTTTTCTTCTTCAACCATCTGATGTACTTGTAGCATTCCACGCCCACCTATTTGCCTTGGTAGATAAAGTCTATCAATGTCACTGCGTGGATGAAGGGCATGATTCATTGTCATTATTTTTCTGATCTGCCTATCCATTGCTTTTAGTTCTGCTTGAGTCCAGTCCACTATTCCAGCTGTGTACCTAATGACTGGGATTGCCCAGGTGTTGATTGCCTTTATGGTATTTCCTCCATTGAGTTTGGATTTTAAGATCTTCTTCACTCTCTTGATGTATTCACCTCTAATCTTTTTCTTGACTTCAGTGTGCTTGATGTTGTCAGCTTGAAGGATACCCAAGTATTTGTAGTACTCTTCCTCATCCAGACTCTTAATGTTATTTTCGTGGGGCATCTTGATTCCTTCAGTTTTCACTATTTTTCCTTGTTTGATAGTAAGTGTGGCACATTTGTCCAAGCCAAACTCCATTACAATATCTTGGCTATATATACGGACAGTGTTGAGCAGCGATTGT